GCCCACCCAGTCACATGGCTGGCAAGCCACTCCCACCCAGTCACAAGCCACTCCCACAAAGCAGGCCACACCTACAGAAGAGGTTCTAAAAAAAAATTGAAACCCACCATTGCTTCCAGCCATAAGATTTTATGATGCTATGAGAATATTAAAACCAATGAAGCAATTTTTCAACACTCTGATATGGAGCCGTTAGCCTCTTCCAGGTGATGAAAACCTATTATTCAATATTCCTGTGAAACGTCTTGGCATTGAACTTACTTTTTCTCTAAAATTCTTTGCAGTGTTATCTAGATGGATCTTTGTCAAGTTGTATCCAGTTGTGGCAGGTAAAGACATCTTTGATTCACTAGTCTTGCTTTCTGGGGATTCATTCTGTGCTGTTAAGAAAAGCTATGGTTAAGCAAGATTCCATTAGTTTTCTTTGAACAAGTTAAAAAAAATATTGCTTGCTGCTTTATATTGCTCTGGAGCAAATAACTTGATGTTCAAATCACTACCTTGTAGCCATATGTTCACTATTGCAAAGTTTTGTAAAACATCACAGAAACTGGGACAAAATGAACAATATTAAAATAGGTTTGTGTGCTTAATTGAAAAATATTACTAAAATATTGCAAAATTTTATGGAAGGACAAATATCTTGCAAATATTGGTTGTGTACTTTTGATTGATTTAATTTTTAATTTTTCCCAGAGTTTTTGGACAGCACATACATTTAATAAATAAATAAATTCAATTTAGAAATCATTTAAGAATCAATGTGCACAAATACAGATCGATAACAGGAAGTTTATGAGTCCCCTTTATTATTCATTCATTAATTCGTTCATTTTATACAAGAACCTTAAGTCTAGTAAACCTAATAAATAGAAATAAAGGAAAGATATGGATTGGGGTGCAGCAACTTTGGAAAGAGGTCCCTATGAATGAATATTCCACCATACAAAATATTATTTCAACATAGGAAGCTGTTGTGGCCCGGCAAGAGCCGTTGGAGCTGCCACCAGACTCGGACAGCGAGGGGCCTTATGAGTGGGCCCTGGAGGAGGTGGAGGATCCTGGGCAGGGTTCCGACTCGGAGCAGGGCACAGAGAGACTGGTTGGCCACCAGGTGGCACCTGAGTCTTGGATCAGGGGGGAGGAGACAA